GAGCAATTTTGAGCAACGCCCTCCACCTTATCGTCTTGATGATGATGAAGATGCGGATGCTTTTGGTGATGAAGATGCGATATCTTGACGGTGGTGCCGTTGCCGTCTCAACTTCAATCGTCGCGGTATGGAAGGTAATAATCATGGTAATAATGATCCTTTTGCTAAAATTAAATTTAGTCTACCTCCTTTTCTTTGGTAATGTTGATCCGGATGCATATTTAGATTGGGAGCTTCTTTGTTCAACAAAAATTTGATTCTCATAATGTTCTGCTTGAGCATAGAGTTAGACTTGCTACTAGTGAGTTTACTAATTTTGCTTTTGTTCGGTGGAGTGATCTTTGCAATGCCAATAATTTCTTCTTTGTGCCTCAAACTTGGAATGTTTTAAAGCAACATATGAAATCTCGTTTTGTTCCTCCTTATTACCAACGTGATTTACGTTTGAAACTACAAACTTTAAAATAAGGTGATAAAGGAGTAGAAGCATACTATCAAGAATTGCTTATTGGTTTAGCACGTTGTAGTATAAATGAAGATGATAATGATGCTAGTGCTAGATTTTTTGGTGGTTTAAACCATGATATCTGAGAACATACTTGATTACAAAGAATGGCGCAATTTTTTTCCAATTGTATCATCTTGCTATTAAGGTAGAACGAGAAGCTGAGGGACTTAAACAACACCAAATTTTCGAGGTCTAACAATGGGAGGAATTTTTAGCAGCTGTTCGATAGGAGACGCCTAAGCTTCTGTTGCACCACGACCATCTACACCTCCATTTTCTTCCGGGGTAAGTAAAATTGTCTAATGTGCAGTTTCCACAATTTGAAGAAAGGTGGCACTCTGGGTGCTTCTACTAGCTCCTCCTCGTCCGACTCTAAAATCATTTGCCACCAATGCAAAGGCATGGGACATGTCATGAAGGAGTGCCCTAATGTCGTCGGCGCTTTCATTGCTACCGAGGATGGATATGTAAGTGCTAGTGATGTTGAAGATGATTTAGCCTTTGTCGCTAACATTGATGCGAGATCCCACCGAGGGCGATCATGACAAGGAGGCCATCACCATTAACTCCGTGAGGGCGCCGCCGCGGACTACCCTAACCTTCTTGTGTAGCGTGTGTGTTGAGTACACGTGTGGGACATGAAGAAGAAGATATAAAGATCAACGCATACAATTTGTTCCACATGTATCTCATTGTGCGGGGTTGTCGTGTTCTCACTATCATTGATGGCGGGAGTTGCAACAACTTGGTGAGTTCAGATTTGGTTGACAAGCTTGGCTTGACCACACGATAACATTCGTATCCATATAAACTTCAATGGTTCAATAATAGTGGTAAGACTAAGGTAACTAAATCAGCATGCATTAGCTTTTTCATAGGCTCTTATCATGATGCTTGATTTTGATGTTGTCCCTATGCAAGCTTGTTCCATTTTGTTAGGTCAACCATGGGAATTTGATAATGATGCTTTACACCATGGTAGAACTAATACATACACTATCATACATAAGGACAAGAAAATTACATTCTTTGCCTTTGTCTCCTATGGATATTATTAAACATGCTAATGAGATTAAAAAATAAACCTCCAATGAGACATTGCTAAAAATAATGGGATTAAGTTAAAAGGAGGTGCTTTTCTTGCTACAACTTCACGCTACTGCTTTGAGTTATGTGATAATCTGATGCACCATGTTATACTATGTTTTGTCAACCTTTTATGTACGGTGCATTGCCCTCTTTGTCACTAACTTTTGCGGGAGTTCATCGATGATGGGATGGAGTCGAGGACGACTCCAATTCTAGAAGGAGGGGATGATGAGGACATCGCCAAGATGGAGTCGAGGATGACTCCAATTCAAGAAGAGGAGGATGATGAGGACATCGCCATGCTGGACACACCGATGCCATGGTATTCCCCAAGTTGCAATTCGTTCCCAACTTAGCTGCCACGTCGCCCTCGGATTCAGCAGAACACGTCGTCCTTTATTTCGGTCATAACTTTCTCATACGACATCCGAAAACGGGCCGTTCTTTGGATGCGTTGGAAAGGGACGACGACGCCGTCGTTTTGGATCTGGTCCCAGCTCCAGAAGGTTCGTGGATCATTCTGTGTGACCATGGCAAGGTGCTGCATCACCTATTTGGGCCAACTTGGCCATGTATCGTGTCGGGCCTTAAGCCCAAGTTGTGGGCGCCCAACCCCTGGCCGTCCCCAACCCTAGGTCGAGTCTTAGACTATAAACACAGTCGTCGCCGCTGCTACACAATTGGGTTTTGTTTAGAGTTTAGTTTTCCATCGAGCCCAGAATCGTTCATTGTAGCTGTGGTGACAAATCCTTTTACAAAGTGATCCGGGGCCCCGTTCTTGATCTCCTCCACTGTGTCGATTAGTCCTTTGGAACCGAGTTCTAGAACCCTCTATTGATATTCGCGTCATTCATATTTGCAATATCAGATTGCGTGTTTTACCTTCTTGCTTGTGCTCTTTGATTCGCTTTGGGAAAAGCCTTCTTGGCGAGGTCAATCAAGTTGTGCTTGGTTAATAACCAACGGAGAGCGGTGGTGTAATGTTGTTGGAGGTTGAATCGCGTCTAATTTGAAGCCGGATCGCCAACGTCGAGATCTCCACAAATTGAACTTACCGGCTACCTCTCGGAAGATCGGGCCTGTACTCATCACAGCTATTGCCAAAGCATTTAACCTCTCTATAAAATTTAGAATTATATATGTCGATGGTGTTAATTAGCTTAAAATCAATAAGGCTCCACAAGATTTCAATTCTAGATCCGCCATTGCATACAATCACCCACAAGGTGGACATGTTCCTTCATAATGAACTTAAGTAAGGCCCTGTTTGGTTCCAGAGACTAGAGACTAGAGACTAGAGACTAGAGACTAAAAGATGACTAAAAGAGGAACTAAATAGCATGTTTGGTTTTAAGGGTTAAAAGGGACTAAAGGGCTGAACAAAGACTAAAATATCCTTCTTCTTCCTTTGGACAGAGGTGAGGGAGGAGAGGGAGGAAGGGATAAGGGCTGTAAAGTTGGTCCATTAGTCCTAAAAAGCATCTCTTAAGGGACTAGTAGACTAGAGACTAAAAGTCCCTCCAACAGTCCCTCCTATTTAGTTAAAAGGGACTAAAAAATAGTCTCTGCTCTCTGATCCTATGGAACCAAACAGGCCCTAAGAATGTAAGACACTCGGTTTAGAGCAAGCAATGGTTTCTGGATAAGCTAGGTGCCAGCTCCATCGATGCAAGTGGGTGTTGTGGTGCCGGTTGCTCGGTCTAGCAGCGTGGGAGACACTAAGGGCGTGTTTGCGACCCTGTACCTGGCCGGCCTGGCCAGCCCAACTGGCCCAGGCCTGGGCAGGCCTGCCCCAAGTGGTGCAACAGCTCTTGTTTGCGTCTGTGTACCCAGTGAGCCCGGCTCAGGCGAGGCTGTGTTTGTCATCGAAGAGGCAGCCGGGCTGAGAGGCTAACCGCCACCAACTACCACACCGAGATAGTGTTTGTCATTTGGCTGTGGTCGGCCAGGCCCATAACAACAAATAGAAATGGACATGAATGAAAGGAGAATGAGGTTGCTCTTCCATAACCGTTACAACAACAAATCAAAGTTTCAGCATGAAATAGTTGGCCTCAGACATGCTAATTTAATAATTCATGGCATTATTGGCTACATGGGATAATCAAAGTCAGTAAAGAAGAACAGAAGCATGGGTCAGTCAAGGTTTGAAGCCAACAAACGAAAAAGTTCACAGAAACAGATAAGAGGCAGCAAAATGATATGTAGCTAGCTAATGCATCGATCCATGTCATCATTGGCCAAAATACAACATTTAACAGTTTGGCAAGCCGAGAAGGGCAACAAGTTAACAGAAAGCATGTAGCCAGCTAATTGCAGTCATCCTATTGTGTCATCATCGGCCTAATTAAAACAACAGCTGTGGCACATGAACAGCTTGAGTGACAGACCAACTACAACCATAAACAAGATCAAGATGACAACATTTTTGCAACAGCCTTGCAGCCCAGGTGAATGAGGATAGATTTCAGAACCTTGACCTGTCACCAGTTCATGGGATGCTGATGCATCCCCATGAGGGGCATGAATTGGTAACAGCAAGGGTTCTTGAGGTACCCTTGCATTAAAATCTCTAAGAGCATCATCATAGTTGTTGTACTTCTGATAAATAGCCCCTTCTTCCCTAAGCACTTGCTTAGCACACTCATACCATGTAAAATAAATCACAGGTTTCTTTCCTTCAAAGACCACATAGCAGGGAGGCATTCTCTAAAACCAACCAAATGTAGAACATGTAAGTGGTCTGAATGACATGCCTTAGTCGACCATTCAATTTGAATGATGGTGAACATCATCGGCAACTTGATAAAAAAATTAGCCTCAGCTGTTATTTTCCTTGTTTAGTCATTGGTGGCTATCAAGAATTGTAAGAACCAAATAAAGAGGCAAATAAACAACAGTTGCACTCACTGCCATCAGCCATCACAAGAGGATGTTGTTGCTGTGGAGTACAACTGAGCATAAGTGTAGAATGGAAGGATAGGTAAATAAAGAAGAAAGCACAACAACAAAACCATCAAAACAAGAATAAGGTAGCCACCTCAAGTTTGTTTTATGCATCATAGGCCTTTAAATCTCACAGTTACCACCAGAGACATAAACAACAAAAATAGGCAACTAGTTATCAAATAAAAAGTAGCCAACAGAGGCTACAAATAAGTTTCTTACAATACCAAGTTGAGCCCAACAGCCAAGGGCTCAAATGTTCCCAAATCCTTGTCTATTGTTAGCCATCCTCCTATGCAAACTACACCATCAAGGTCAGGTGTCAAAAGAACAAGCAGACTGCACAAAAGGTCCTGTTGTCAAAAGAAGAGAGAGTGGGTGAGGGGGGGGGTGGAGGAACTATACATCTCTATAGTCAACCCCCTCCTGGCCTTCTAGCCCTTCATGTGTAGTGGAACTACACATAGTAGTTTTTGGCCAGGAAGATCCTAAGCCAAAGGGCCCTGTGGGCATCACTCATGTTCACAAAGCCCCTGCCTTGGGCCTTGTTGTCCAGGAGGAAGGTGTAGGCAACAATAAGTGCCTCCTCACTGAAGCCAGGCATCTCCATCACAGCAAGGTACAGATTGGCATCAACATGGGCAGGTCCAGTCTCCCTAAGAGCATTGGCCACATTGTTCACAGCATCTGACATGTTAGTCAACATGAGCATCTCCTCCTCAGAGAAGTTCCCTCTCTTCCTCTTTGGGCCAGCAGCTGAGGAGATAGGAAGTAGTTCAGTGGCCTTGCTATCCCTCCCTGCTTTGGGGAGCGTGGTGTGGGTCAAAGGAGGACCATCGGCCTTGGCACCAACACTTTGTCGACTGGTTACGCCCTAAGGCTTCACCAGACCCAAGTGCAAACTTGCCTGTGGCCATAGCATTAGCAAAGATAGCCTCCATCTCAGTGTAGAACCTAATAGGGCAGTTAAGAAACTCTACATCTTTAGGATGGTCCTGCAGAGTTGGGCAAATGTAGTTTAAGAAAGGCAAATGTAGGTAGTCAAGGCAAAGACGAGATCAAACTGCTACCTTGTAGTGGCCAAGGTAGTGCTCTTGCTCAAGCATGATAGCATGAGCCTGGTCATCCCAAAGAGCAGCACTAAGGTTGTCACAGAACCGACCAATTTATAAGAGTACAAGTACGAAAACAATCGCCAAACGATCAAATTCTCGAACTTGCGCCCATATAAACCAGTAGTCAAGCTGAAATCACGACGGATTTCAAACCAACTTGCATACAACCAAGATCACAGTAATTCAACATAACATATAAATGCGTTACAACATTTCATGAGACGTTCGCAAATAGATTACATCAACACACGAGTCATCGTTATTACAAAACAAGTCTTGTAACATAAGCGGAAGCAAATAGTTTAACTCACACACACGAGTTCAATACCGCATTACCGGTTATTTGATCACATCCCACAAAAGCATTGAGATAAGATAATGGAGATCATGCCCGTGATCTAGTCTTCGTCACCCGTCGGGTGGAGACAATACTTACGAGAATCCCCGATAGAGAAGGTCATCTCGCAACAAGAGGGAAATAAACCACGATGCACGGGAATGTACTCAGCTAGACTTACCCGACGGAAACCAAAATAAAAGACACCAAGGATCATGCATAGCTTTATTTAGTGGATCTGGTGACACTTTCATTTGCGAGAAAAGCATATGTAATAATGATTAACTTTTATCACGAACTAGCAAAGTGACTTTAAGCCATTAACTTTGTCATCTATATTAGCTTTTGTACTAATCAACCACTTGATTAATATGCAAACATTAATAACCATAGCGAGGTATAATTCTCGGCAACATTATCATCATCATCATCATTATCCATTTAACCATAGCGTTAAATTAATTGAATCTCGTTACGCATTTGCTCAAGTCAAGTTCTCACTATCCGGGAGAGACGGCGATTCGAATCGATTCCTATCCGGTGGAGGGTATTCCTAACACAAACCACGCTTCCCCGTCCGTGGTCGCAAACAAGTCACCTTTGGTACAACTCAGGAGAAAAGTAACAGAAAAGACGCGGGTCCGGGCCGCCCTGCATTCTCAGAGAACCACTCTGCCAGGAAGTGCAGGATCTTAAACCCTGACTCCCCTTGGACTTATGCCAATGGCTCTCCGCACATCCTTACTACCTCCAGAATGCATCCAACCCCCACGGTTCCCGGCCTGAGTTGAGCTACTCGGCAGCGGTCGGAACGACTTATCCGGCCAGCTAAGTGTTAGGCTGCGTTCAACATGACATGAGGGGCGTCAGACGTATCGGTCCTTAAGCGAGCCTTGAGACGGAGTCACTATGTTCAAACCTACACAAGACTCCGCCGGTCTTAATTCATTATTCACATGGTTCTTTTCCACGATAGCAAATATAGCCAACCGTGATCCACCTCATCCTAAATCTCGCGGTGACGAAATCACACGACTTCTACCGCACTAAGCATGGCTAAGCATTTAACCCGTTCACGAACTTAAATAGGATTCGGTGCGATATCACGGACAAGGAGGGATATATAATGCAGCAATTGGTTCCAACCAATTCCTATACTTAATGCATCATCAACAATAAAGATACTCAATATATTTGTAAAGACATGGGAGACTTATAATGCTCCGGGGCTTGCCTTTCAGGAAAGAGGAAGGCTGGTGATCAGGGCACTCGGGCAACTCCTCGGCGACGGCTGCTTCTTCGACTTCCTGCACCTCGGGCTCCTCCTGGTTGGCTCCCTCGAACTCCAGCAACGTCACTCCCTCCGGCACACCTATTGCATGAATGCGCAAGATAAGTATCATGGATGCATATGTACGAATGTCAGGGATGCTCGGGGAATGCACATGTTCGCTGTAGTTTGCATATTTCAACTTAAGCCCTATTCAAATCACTTTACTTACCAAGTTTATACAACCTAATGTATAATTGCTCATCTTCAGTTAATGACCTAGCACCTGCACCTAAGCATATTCTCAAGTTAGGCTAACCCCCAAACAATTAACGATTACGTTGCAACACATTCAATCAAGCATTTGTATTTCAGCAAATGAAGACTATATATATCGGTACATTAAACTAGCCATAACTGGAGATGTATAATTCCAAATGACATGAAACAAGACAATCTGGAAAGCTTATGAAATTGTCTACAATTCATTTTTAGACCTCAAAGCATGATTCAAACCTTTACCAGGTCGAATTCATCAATCAACAGAAGTCTATCCACACAAGGCAGAGAATCAGCAAAAACTGCAACCTAACTTTAAACAGCTGTAGTTTCTAAACTACTGGGCCAAATGCCCTCAAATTTTGACAGGAGCTAGATACATAAGTTACCTACAACTTTTGTATTCAACACAAGCACAGAAAACCACATTATCATGGGGAACTTTCCAAAGTCCCCAGATCTGTCCAGAGGGACATAATGCCAACAACTAATTAGCAACTTATGATGTAAACATATAATTAGACAAAACCAACTTTACTATCTTATCACACATATCCTAAGAACACCAGAAAGTAGGATGTCCATTACCAAAACATTTCTTTTAATACCTTTCTTAATTTATTTAATTAATTAGGGGAAATAGTAAACCTATATGAAAACTGCCCCATTAATTCTACAAAAATTACAGTAGACACTACATACTCTAAGTAGACTACCATAAAAATTTCACTCCATTTGAGCAAGTAGAAAAGCCTACACAAAAATGACAAGGCATAATGGCTTAAAATGGCATAATTAGGAAACCCTAATGAAAAGTGTCAAGCAACAGATTTCATATTTTTCCTAGCATCCTTAGGGTACTAGGATACTACCTACCAATTTTCATGGCCATTGGATTCATAAATAAATTACTAAAATTTACACAAGAATTACCTGATGATAAAAGGAAAATCTATAACTCAAAAACTACACATGCCATGACTCTCAAATTTTAACCAGAGCTTCTACTATACAAGACTAGCTCACCCACAAAATTTCATAATTTTTGGATCACAGAAACTCAAGATATGATTTAAACAAGTTTGCATGCATTCAAAAACACTTTTCAAGTTCCTATTTAATTCACCCAAAATTTCTACATAATATGCTCAAGATATATTTTTCTTAAATACTAGACCTAACAGTGAGTCTAACAAAATTGGAAGTACTCAATTTGGATCTACTAAACTCAAGATATGGATTTTACAACATTGCATTCAAATCTGTAAAACCGAACTATCTTTAAGAACAATGACCAGCGGCGTGTGGGACCCGGTGTCACCGACCCCTAATGGTCGCGGCGAAAGCAGAGGAGGCGGCTCGCATGGCGGGAATCCGGTGGAGCTCGCCGCCGGCGGCCTCTCCGGCGACGATGGCGGCACCTACGTGACCGCCTCAATCTTACGCGTCGATTGACACCCTAACCACCAACTCTACCGACCCCTAAGTACCCGACCCACGAGAGCTTTCGGCGGCTCGGCCATGGCGCGGCGGCGGCGTGGCCGTGTTCGGCTCAACGGCGGCGAATCGAGAGACTCAATGCCTTTGAGGTAGACACTCACGGCTCCTACGGTTCCCATGCGCGCGCACTAGAAGAGGCGATAAAGGGCGAGGCGGCCGCCACCACGGACGGCGCTAGCTCCGCGAGTCACGCCCATGGCAAAGCGTGTGGCGGAAATGGTCACTGCGACCTTACCCAAACACGAACGGCGCAGCTAGGAGGTGGAGAAGGTAGAGCGAGCTACGGTGAGTCATTTGGCGAGATGGCGATCGGCGCTTTTTGCGGTGGTTCGTGAGCTCGGCGACGGCGGCGGCGAGCGGCAATGGCGGGCGGTGCGCCGCTTGGTTGGCGTGGGCCGACGAAGTGAAGCAAAGCAGCGGCGAAGCAAATAGACGAGCTGATGGGCGCGTGGCGTTGAGGTGTCGCGATGACTGACCGGTGGGGAATAACGCCGGCAGACGGCCTCCGCAGGCGTGGCCGTGCGTGGCAATGACGGCTGAGGCGGTCGGCCACTCGGCACGTGAGAGGCGGCCATCGGGGCCTGCAATCAACCGACCGACGACAAGTTTTCGACGTGCTCAAACTCCTAAACCGTGCTTGATCGAGCTCATGTCGTAGTTAACAAAGATGGAGATCTACATGTGGGCTACAATTTTCACAATTGGAGCACGAGCTGGTTCGGCTTGGTTTGTGAGATACAATGCTCCAAACATCGACACATGAAGCTGAAAACCGGTTTCGGACTTAGAAAATTTTCCGAGTTTCAACATAGATCTCAAAACTGACTTGTGGGTCCTTTTTGAACATGTTGTGCACATTTTCATGAGATGGCTTCTAAACAAAGTTTGTTCCTTATTAAATTTACTACAACTTTGCTTTAGGTTGCTCCAACATGCATAGACTCTAAGTTACACTTTTAAACAGTCAAACTCGGGGAGCTCTAGGGGTCCAATTTGGTCAACCATGACTTGGAAACCTAATTAGGCAAAATGATCAACATGAACATTGTTCCTAATGACATTCTAGGTGTAACTAAGTTACTTAGGAGGATCATTAGCCACACCACACATTGGTCACACAAGAATCAAGCAAGGTATGTACTGAAACAATGAAAAACACATGAAATGTTGCAACTGTTTCATAGTCATGTTTCACTTGTTTCATGATTGTGTTGCATAGCACTAACTAACCTTGTTTTACTAAGTGAGTGGCACATGTTGCACTTAAGTGTTGCACACTTTACATTTCATAAAAGAAACAATACACAGGAAATACACAACATGTTGCAATGTTTCGAAATCATGTTTCATGTGATATAAGTTCAAGAATGGATGCATGATGATCATGTTCATGAAATGTAGTGCAAATGTGGAAGCCAAACACCTGGGGTGTTACAGCCCTCCCCCCTTATAAAAATCTCGTCCCAAGATTTGAAAAGCGTACCATTGTTGATA